AAGGAAATGAAGCAGGTTGGGAGATGGGAAGAGCACAGGTGGAGGAAGACTTGAACCAGGTCAAATATGTAGTTTGTGGTGGTGTTAGAAGCAAAAAAGCAGTTTTACTTCCGTATTTTTGCATCTTCTCAGTGTGGTCCAGTAAAGCTCTTTTGAGGATTTTCAAGCCTTTGGGGATCTGGCTCACCTACAGATCTTGCAGAATTCATGGTAAGTTGCTGTAACATGTTGGCTAGATATTGTGAGAGCAAAATTAATCAACTTCATCAGAATTTAAGCTACATTGCTAGCACTTCAATCTGTAGAAGTATGCAGGGTCCTGTCTGGTCAGATTTTCTTGGATGAGTTTTTAAGGCCTGAGGATGTAGACGAGGCACTGGAACAGTTTTGATCAACTACAGGTTTGCTTACCCTTGCTCCTCATGCCTTATGACATCTAGAAGGAACAGAGTACTCAGCTGGGTCTAGCAGGTTATAAATTCCTCCTTACAAGAAGATGTGGCCCCAACTTCTTTAAACAAGGCATTATTTAGACCATGACTTGGAAAAAAAGCCTAAGTGGGTCCAGAAGATCTAAAAAAACCAAAACAAAACTGTAGGCCAATAGCCTACATCTGCTCATTGCACAAGGTCTTTGAGTGTATGGTGGCCTATCATGTCTAATCATTCTAGGAAAAAATGGATTTTCCATATCCATTGGGTTTAGGCCTGGTTTGGGCACCGAAACTACTTGGCCAGCCTGTTGGATGGTCTTTGCCAAGAAAGAGACCAAGGGGTCTAGCTTTGTTGATTCTCTTGTACCTCTCAGCAGCTTTGATACCATCAACTATAGTATCCTTCCAGAAAGTTGGTTCAAGCTAAGGGTGGGAGGAACAAGCTTAAAGCTTATACCTAGATGGGCATCTTGAGAAAGTGCTGCTATGAGATTTCTTCATGATCCCACCATGTTTTCACTGTGGAAGTATCCAATTTATTCCCCATGGTGTTCAATGTCTCCATGAAACTACTCTGAGGGAAATCATTCACAGATTTAGACTAAACATTCAGTTCTCTCTCTCCTTTTCACTAAATCCAGGTAAGGTAGGGGAGTAGCTGAATCAGTGGCTAACTGTGGTAATAGACTGGATAAGGGCCAACTGACCTTCAGTTTATGGGAGATGCCATTAGTACATGGTTCATCTGGCCAAGTGAATGGTTTAAGTTGTTTCTAATGGTACTGCACTGCCCTTAAGATGTTACACTTCTAACCTGAGCATGTTTCTGAATTCATCTGTGATAATAGAGGTACAATTGGCCTCAGTGGAATAAGGACCTTTCACATCTTTGGCTGGTGCCCCAGCTGTGGCCCTATTTGGAGAGCCTCCCAACAACATTCCCTAAAAATATTACTGTGGTGTGCTATACGTGAGCCTGCTTTTGAAGCCAGTTCAGAAATTTCAAAAACTTCTGCTGTGGCAAGAGTACTGACTAGAACTCACTCCCCACTGATTTCCAGTGCCAATTCAATATGCTGTTTGTTAACTTAGAAAATCCATCATGGCTTGGGACCATAGTATCTGTAGAAACACTTCTTCCCATTTGTTCCTACTCATAAACGCAAGCTCTTCTCTGGAAAACTTTTGCCAGGTGCCCTCTCATGCCGAGGTGTGCTAAGTGGCTACCCAGAAGTGGGTCTTTAGTGGTAGCCCCCCAATTTTGGAATGCTAACCCCAATGCCCCCCCCTCCAAATCCTGCTGTGCTGCTGCATCATGGTGATGGGGGTGTTCCTGCGGGGAATAAGTAAAGAGCATCAGGAGTGTATGCCAAGAGTGTATATTCCTAGCAGGGTCACCCAAAGTGTGAAGGTCATCTCAGCTGCCCAGCTAAAGCAAGCAGGTACCTACTGTATATTGGGCAGCAGCAATATAGGAAGATGCTGGAAACAGATGATCACTTTTGTGACAATGGCAAAGGCATCAATTCATACTGTGCAGGAGAGGGCAGTGGTAAACCACTCCTGTATTTTTACCAGAAAACCATATGGATAGAAAATATAAAATGATTGGCGATATAGTGCCAGATGATAGGCCCCTCAGGTCGGATGGCATGCAACATGCTACTGAGGAGGAGCTGAAGATCTTTTGGAGTATTAATGGTGCTTATGACATGGGTAGATTAAAGACTTTGGGATATCTAGTTGCTGATATTGCCATACAGGTAGTTCTTGCTTAACGACCCTAATTGAGACTGGCAACTCTGCCGCTAAGCAAAGTGGTCGCTAAGTGGGAAATCACGTGACCATGACTATGCTTTCTGGCTGGAAAGAGACAAGACTAGTCAGTTTCACACCTTGGCTTTTGTTTGCCTCCTAACCACTCCCCCCACCCCTGGAATGCTTGAGTGCCTGTTTACTGTCTTGTACGCATCGAAAGCAGCCCAGCAGCCCGGGGCTGGGAGCCATAGGTGTACTACGCAAACAGCTTACAGTACTCTCTTGAAATCTCTTCCTCTCCAATCTCTCTGCTCTGCGGGGGGGAGGGGGAGAGAAAAAAGCAAACAATTTCTGTAGGCAATTTCTCCTTTGCCAGACCCTTTCCCACAAGGCAATTGCATTCCTTTTGATGTGTAGAAGAGCAAGCAGCTTGCTCTCTTGAAATCGCTCTCCCATCTCTCTACTCTGTGGGGGTAGGGGGGGAGGGCCAGGCAAAGGAAAGATTGCCTACAGAAATCGCTTGCTTTTTTTCTCCCCCCTGCCCCCCACTGCAGAGCTGAGAGATGGGAGAAGGGATTTCAAGAGAGCGCGTAGCACACCCACATCTCCCAGCCCCAGGCTGCTGGCAGGATTGCATTGCTTTCGATGTGTAGAAGAGCAACAGCTTACTCTCTTGCAATCCCTTCCTCTCCAATCTGTCTGTTCTGCAAGGGGGGAAGAAAAGAAAAAAACACAGGTCAGGCATAGGACAATGTGTACTGACTGTAATGGCAATCACATGATTGAGGGATGCTGTGAGGGTGAAAATTGGCTGTACAGGTTTTTTTTAGCCCCGTTGTAACTTTGGTCACTGAATGAGTGGTCAGGACTACCTGTACAGGAAAAGAGCATCTGCAAAGACAGAATTACAGTGGGAACATGGAACGTAAGATTCATGAACAGGGAAATCTCAGCACAGAGAAAGATGAAATGAAACAACTACAAATTGACATCTTAGGCGTCCACGAATTGAGATGGACTGGGATTGGACACTTTCAGTCAGAAGATCACACTATTTATTATTCAGGACATGAAAAATGAAGAATGAACAGTTGCTTTTATACTGTAGATAGGAAGAGCATAGCAAGAACAGTACTTGGCTACAGTGCAATCCCTGATTGAATAACATCAGTTAGACTTTGTGGACAACCCTTTACTATGACAATCATCCAAGTTATATGCTCCAGCCACTGATCAAGTTCAATCTGAAATCAATAGAACAGGCAAGCAAGATGTGCTGCTTGTGGTTGGAATCTGGAATGCCAAAGCTGGAAATATGAAAAGAGAAAATTTAGTTAAATTATATGGGTTAGGTTAGGAAAACCAAAATGAAGTAGTAGAATGACTGAACAATTTCTCCCACTCCAATGATTTCTTCATAGCTAACATTGACTTCAGACAACTGAAATGACACCTCTGTACCTGTACATTACTAGATGGAGTACATAGAAATCAAATTGACTGTATTATTGCTAAAATGAGGTGGAGGATTATCTCCATGACCTGGAATGGAGAAAATCTATGGAATCTATGGAAATGTTACGAATAATTCTTGAAAGCTGTGAAATTCATGGCACATTCCCAAGAGGGTTTAGATCATAACTGTTCAGAGGCACATCACTTCTGTTTTTGTTCCCATTAAATTCACAGCATTGGCCTTCAATGGCACCTTGTCCTTTGCTCTACACACAAATGTGGTACCAGGTTTTCAGGAGTTCCTTGAGGACCTAAATCCACATCACTCTTAAGTGCATTTCATTTATCACGTCTGGTGTGCTAAATTTCTCTGTTCACTTCCAAAATATAGCATAAGTGTGCCGGACAAAGGAAACTGCACTGGGAAAGAGGATCTGAGGATCCCAAATGAATAGGTAGTGAACTGTAAGTTTAGTTATATATTCCTTCAATACACACAATAGAAAGGTACTTCCGAGTTGGCCAAAGCAACTTCAAAAATGGTGCAATGGATAGGTGACTTCAAGTCTTGCCTTAGTATAATAAGCTGTGTTGCTGTGGGGAATTAAAAGCTGGGGACAAGCTCCTCAGGATAGCAGATATATGACTTTTCAACTTTATTCGTTTTCCCCAATCTGCTGCCCTTCAGATATTTTGAAATTCAACCCACACCATTTCCAAGCGCTGAGGATTCTGGGAGTTGTAGTCTCAGCACATAGGTTGAAGAAAGTTCTGACATAAATATTATCGAATCGTATGTCATGAATCCTTTTCGAGACGGGAGAGGGGTGGTAACTCCAATTGGTTGCCTGAGCAGTGTTTTTTCCTGTTAAATCCTCCTAGTATCGCCTGCCCTGTGCATTTTTATCAGTCAACACATTAATGTTTCGTTCTCAGTTTTAATTAGATGCTTCTTCAATCTGGTGGGAGGGATCATTTTTCTTCTCTAACCAATTAGGACCCTGCCCGCTTTGTTTGAATAAGAAAGAGGAGGATTAAAAAGGCTTTCCTTGTTGGCCACTTTGTCGTCGTCCATTGGCTGCAAAGCCACGTCAATTGTGATTTCTCACACGAGCGCCTTTCGGCCACCCTTGTATTCTATTGGCAAAGCTTCCCATCAATCGAACATTTTGAAACCCGCCCCCCGTCTAGTTCCTTCTTACAACCGTTAGTAGATAAACCACCTTCCCTTTAAACGCCACTTTGCCTAAGCGTTCATATTCAAATTCCTCCAATCAAGCTCCATGGCTCCGCCTCTCCACTACGCCTATCCCCATTGGCTGCCGACTGTCGCGGACATTGGTTGTCAACGGTTCTCAGCGAGGAGAGGACCCAAGAAGGGAGGGGGGAGGAACGGACTCCCTCCGTTCTAACGGGCCTGATTGGGCAGCCGGGGTTCTAAAGGGGTGTGGCTGGCCTTGGCCGAGGGTTATAAAATCGTTTGTTGGGCACCGGCCACCCTCATTAAAGTGAGGGTGGCAAAGTTGGGGGTATCACGGAGGGAAAGCAGAAGGAGGGTGACGGGAAGAATACCTTATAAATATACATTTACAAACTTCCTAAACGAGAAGATCTAGCCTCCACTCAGTAGGGGCTGTCTGAGCCCCCAAGTCAGTTAGGGATAGGTTCCTGATCAAAAGGGATTTAAGTATCGATTAAGGCGCGTATGTGAGCCCTCCAAAGATCAGGGTAAATCGCGCTACATTACAACCTCCGTGCAGACCCAACACAATGGTGAGTGGCTTTGAGTGCTGCGTGTCCTTGCCTTGCCCACCTGTTTGAAGTTTCTGCCCTGTCTGTGGGACTCTCCAGAACTTGGGTGGGTTTGGATGGTTTACTTTCGGGATTTGGGTAAACCTTAAGGATCGGCGAACTTGAGCTCTGTCCCAATAGCAGAATCTGGAGAGCTTGCGTGGTGTGTTGTGCAGGCACACGTGTAAGTGCAAAAATCCAGTAGCATGGAGTGAGTGTTTTGTTTTTCTGTGTGCCTGAGTCTTTGCTGCTACTGGCTGGGAAGCAAGATTTTCTTGGAATGTGGTCTTTGCGCTACGGATGAGCATTAGAATTTATACACTGAGAATGTGTGAACAATTATTAAAGTTTTACTTTGGGACAGGATGATATCTTTCAGTATCAGGTAGAGAGCACTTCCCAGATCTACATTGGATGTTAAACTGAATAAATGATTTTGGGGTAGGACATAAATATTGGAGGAAATACATATTGGAGGAAAGAGACACAAATACTGCTTTTGAAATGTGGCAGGGCCTTCAGTCTTTCTGAATGCCTATTTAAAAATTCAGATCTCTTTGCATCTTAAATAATAGTTTGAGGAAGGTTACAGTTTGGTTTAGACGCTATTGGCTGTCCATAAAATATGTCACATTTCAAACAAATGTTTGAAATTACTTTGCCCCTTGATTCCTTTGTTCTAACTTTATTGCCCCCTCCATCCTCTTCCCTTGAAGCATGAAGTGTAGCATATCTTATGGTTAGTTCTTATGTAAAACATTTTCTGGAGACCAGGGGATGACATTTAAAAAAACTCACACAAATACTTATATAGGAAAATAGGTTTCTAACCACTAAAAGGAAAATAGATTCTAACCACTAACAACATAAATATGCTTGATTTTTCTGGAATGTAATGCTAATGGAAGTACAGTTTCTAACATCTCTTTGGAGCAAAATCATATTTATAGTATTGATACAGAGTATCAACTGGATTTATGAATGCGAAAGTAGTGTGCATTTTTCTTTCAGTTTGGCAGGCATCTAGGTAGCTGTGTATTTTCTTCCTGCCAGGTGTCCCTTTTCTCCAAGCAGAATATTCCATATTTGTCAACTCTTTCACTCATTAGCATTGTAAATGTGGGTCACAGTAATCAAAGCTGTGAACTTAGTTGTTTCATAACAATACTGTTTTAAGATCTGTAAGCCAGCGTTAGCCTTTTAAAAGTCTTTTGCCCTGATTTTGTCCATGTAGGCCTTTAGCTCCCTTCAGTGCACAGATATGTCTGAGTGCACTGCTCCATGTATCTTAAAATATTTTCTCTCAGTATTGGGATCTGCACAGCCTCTGGTCTTTCGCATGCTTTCAGGTGTATTTAATATTTGGGCTTTTCTCAAGAGGTTAGACTATTAGATTATTCAGTATATGTGGGTGGAGGGGGATTTTGAAGGTGGCTGAGGATGCAGGACAGAACTGAGATTCCCTACTAACTTAATTTCCTGAGCATCCCCATTTTATTGGGTGTTTTTTTAAAGTTGTGTACCAAAAAAAATTGGGAGAATCAAGCACTTTTCTTGTACAGATAGTCCTCATTTAGCTATCACAATTGGGACCAAGAACTTGGTCATTAAGTGAAGTGGTTGCTAAGTGAAGCCGCAACTGTGCTTACAAACTTATTTCAGCTTTCCTTTGCTTTACAGACCTGAGAAGGTTGTAAATGTGAGGATTGGTTGTAAAATTATTTTTTCATCACCATCGTAACTGCAAACTGCGGCTAAATGAGGCAGTCGGTGAACGAGGACTAGCTGTAACTGAAAAAGTTTTCTTTGCCTGTGTAGACAAACTGAGGTGTAGGGATAGGAAATCATAACACTCTTGCCTGAATGCTTTGTGTTATTCTCTCTCCTTGCTGGATCTGAGTGTATAGTATTCTTGTTTTGCCTTTGCTCCAAAGAGATGGCAGACACATCCTTGTAACAGCCAAATTTATTCTGCTTCTGTTTATTATTTAGGAGCAGTCACTTCTACCATCATTGGTGGTAGGGTGTTGTAACTTTTTTTTATAGACGTCTCTAAAAACCATCAGATTTTGTGGGCACAAAAGGATCCTAAGGAAAATAAGTAATAAAGACTACTGTACTATTGCTCAGGCATCAACAGTAGTTTTGTGGAGAATCCTTTTCAAATGCCAAAATCTGAATTAGGGTAATGCTTTTCATTAGCTTAATTTAAGGTCCCAAAAATGTGTGCAGCTCTATCTGCACTTCAGCAAAGGGGCATTTTGATGTACCACCCACAGTTGTTATATTGTAGCCAAGGTTTCTCCCCAGTTCCACCACCAAACCTAATCGTTTTTGTGGCATATGATAATGAATTAATGTGGAATTAAAGAAAGATGTAGAAAGGGAGGCCTGTGAGAGAGATTAAGCATGGCAGGGGCTGAGTAACTTGTTGGCTTGAAATGGAAGTAGCCAACTCTTTCAGGGAAGGCAGAAAAGTCATAGTGCAGAAGGCCCTACTCCTTTCCCTATTTTGTTTTATTTTTGAAAAAACTAATTTTCAGAACTAAACTTTCTCAAAGTGGCTTGCCATCAAACGTTATTTTACAAGAGAAATGCAGTACTATTTTCAGATGTCAAAAATATGTAATTCATCTTGATTTGTCTGAAAGGTTAAAAATGCCAATTTCTGTAATACTTATTTGAGATTCTGGAAATTATAGAGCCAGTTTGGTCTCGTGGTTAAGGCACCAGGCTAGAAAGCAGGAGACTGAGTTCTAGCCCCACCTTAGGCATGAAAGCTGGCTGGGTGACTGGGCCAGTCACTCTCTCTCAGCCCAACTCACCTCACAGAGTTGTTGTTGTGGAGAAAATAGGAGGAAGGAGTATTAGGTACGTTCACCACCTTGAGTTATTTATAAAAAAAATAATAAAGATGGGATAAAAAATCTAGAAAAAAAAGTACAACTGGAAATACATATAGTATAAGTACATATATAAGAACTGAGGAATTTCTGTAACCTGATGTCACAAAGTACAGGAAGTTTCCCTTAGTAACTGTTGTCAGTGTTTGCAGCCTGTGCAGTTCATTGAATTCTTTGTGATGTTCTTGTGAGTACAGGCAGTCCCCAGTTTAAGAACGAGTTCCATTCCCAAGGTCTGTCCTTAAGTTGAATTTGTACATAACCTGGAACAGTAATATTGTATAATACTTGTATAAGTAGTATTGTGTAATTAACTTGAACTATTGTGTATTTAACTCAAATCATTGTGTATTTTGCTACAATGGGCTTCGTTCTTAATTGTGGGTTGTCCTTAAATGGGGCGTTCTTAACCCCGGGACTACCTGTATCTATACTTGACAAGTGTCCAAAAGCTAGCAACCAGTGAAATTTCTCTAGATGTTATTGAAACCTGACCACTTTTCAGTGCAAGGTGAAGGGGAATGCAAGATGATTTTCCTTCCCTCCAACACAGCAGTTCAGTTTTGCATAGTTGGCAGTGTGACACATGGATGCCTTAACTTCTGCAACACTTTCAGATGGTGCTTGTGGAACCTTGCAATACAGCCTTTCAAGTTTTTATTTTAACAAAAGTTTTTTTAAAAGTTTTACACACTCTTGGAAGTGGAGATTTTGGACATTTTTTAAACTTCATGCAAAATCAAGTGATGAGGTCTGGTGCCTGAAAAGGTTGCTGATTATGGATATTCTGTATTTGTTTGAAGGGAGAATCTCTTCAGGGGTGTGCAAAATATTTGAAGTTTAAAATGCCCTGTTCGGAGTTTGAAACAGCCATTTTGCATTCCAAATGAGCTCAAAAATATTTCCAAAATGATAGTCTGCCTGTTTCAAATATTAAACAACTATTATGCATAATAGGGTGTTCCAGATTCAAAACATTTTGCATATTACTGTATTTGCCATTTCCCCCACACATCCTTTATCCTTATGGACATCCTGAGAGGGGAATAATGAATGAAATTGTTTGTGATCATTGATTAGTAAGATCCTGTGGAGTAGATTAGGTTGAGAATGAGTGATTGGTACAAGGAGGAACTTGAAACTGCTTTGCCCTGATTCTTATCCAACACTCTGACCATGAACTGGCTTTCCTTCACTATTCTATTTCATCTGGGTTTGAAGTTTGGGTGGACTTTTCTGTGATTTCATGGATTACAAATATCAAGGATGTAAAATTGGTGGAAAATACTGATTCTTGGCAATGTGAATTCTTTTCCATTCTCTTCATGTAATTAGACACTTATTTGCTATTTAAAATGGGGTATAACTCCCTTTTGTATCAGTGTTCCTTTAAACTCTTCATTCTGTCGTAATGAAAAGAAAACTCTGTCTAAAATATACTTGCTCCCCAGTTCATGCATAGCTCTCTTGTTAATTGTACTGAAACAAGGGCTTCCAATTTACAAAGGCTACTAGTTTTCACTTACTGGAATGACCAAGTGAGTCTTATAAGTAGAAGTTTGTTTAAGGTTGCATGTGGGTGTGTACATGTCTCACAAGATGTGCTGTATGATTTAATAGGCAAGAAGGGCTCTCTGGGGGTCAGATGTGACAATAGTTTAAAAATAAGATGATCATAATTCTTGCCTTCCACATATCAGGCCAATTGGTGCTAAGTGTTGATAGGAAAAAGTGCATATTGGAAATTGATGTCCCATAGTCCACCTTTCATGAGTTGTTTGGAACTACTAGATGAGAAACCCAAATAAACTTGAGAAATGGCTGTCCAGTTTGCTGCTTGGATGGGCTGGCTAGGAATTCCAAGGGTGAAGCACTCTGATACTTAATCCAAAGTGACAAACTTGCAGGAGGCAACCTTTTTCCTAACATACTTAAAGAGATGCATCTCTAGGATAAGAACTGCCACATAGAACCACCCAGAGTCGATCTGCAGTGAGATGGGCAGTGACAAATTTGAAATATAAATAAATAAGGTGAGAAAGTGGTCTTCTGATTGAGGAGGAGGTGATGCTGAACTGGAGCTACCTCTTTCACTCTCTCTTTTCTGCATCTTTCTCTCTGGTTCCATTTCCTATTTCTTTCATACCTAGTGGACAGCTGGAGTTGAGACAGTTTACTCTTGCCAGAGATTTGAACAGTTAGTTTCTGAATTTAGGCTGTAAGGTTGCAGGTTGCCTATTCCTATCCTAGATAGACAAGGAACTCAGGAGCCAAGTAGTTCCGGGTATCTGTGGTCATAAGTGACTGTTATTTGTATTTAAATGGGTTCTTCCTTCTCTCATCTAGAGGTGGAGGCTCTTTAATCTGTTGGTCTCACTCGATATTTTTCCTTTTTACTCATGAGTCGGCCTTAACTCCTTCAAATGTGATATTGGACAAATCCACACCCTAAAAGAATTATTCTTAGAGGGTACATATGAATAAAGATAAAATGAAACAATTACTTGAAAAGATATTTTTAAAGTATGCTTTGATCATTTAGATCAAACAGACAATATGTTTGAATTATTAAAATGTAGATTTAAAAAAAAATCTGTACAAGCTTTGCTTCTGTAAGTATTCTTTGAAGAAGACACTTGCTGCCCAAAACCTATTAAGCTCAGAGTAAAGATGTCACAATGTCGTATAAAGTGGTCTTTCTTTGGGGTATGTTTTGGTCAGTGCTGTTTGGAGCATTTTGACCCTTGCCACATCCAGTAAGGTGTTCTTTCAGATGAGAGGCACATTCTTTCTTTTATTCTCCCATCCCTCCCAATCTCTCTCCTTCAGAATTCCAATGTTGAAAACTTGCCTCCACATGTGATCCGGCTGGTCTACAAGGAAGTCTCCATTCTAACATCAGATCCACCCGAGGGCATCAAGGTGTTCCCCAATGAGGAGGACATTACAGATGTGCAGGTCACCATTGAGGGACCTGGTAAGAGAGGGGTACTTGAAGGGAGTTCACTTTGGGGCTTTTTTTTAAGTCTTGCATCACAAGATTGTAGTGACTATATAGCTCTAGTCAAAGAATCATACAGGAGAAGGCAGCCCATCTTGAATTCTTGGGCAGTAGGAAAGAAAAAGTTGGCTGTTGGAAACTTGAGCCTTACTCAAGAAGATATTCCTCATAGTGATAAGACCCCTCTTTTTCTTTTCTTCCCTTTGTAGAAGGTACTCCTTATTCTGGTGGCCTCTTCCGCATGAAGCTGATTCTCGGCAAAGACTTCCCTGCCAGTCCACCAAAAGGCTACTTCCTGACCAAAATCTTTCACCCCAATGTGGGTGCCAATGGTGAGATCTGTGTCAACGTCCTCAAAAAAGACTGGAAAGCAGAACTGGGCATCCGACATGTCCTGCTGGTAGGTAGTGTTTTTAACCGGGTACACCCCAGGATGGCAGACAGGGGGCCCCAAACTGGTTATTTTATTATTGTTCTTAGGCAGGTGCAGAAACTAGGAGAGTGACCTACAGATAGTCCTCAACTTAAGACCATTTGTTTAACAACTGTTCAAAGTTATGACGACACTGAAAAAAGCAACTTACGACCAGTCCTCACACTTATGACCGTTGCAGCGTCCCCATGGTCACATGTTCAACATTCAGGTGCTTGGCAATCAGCATTTATTTACGACAGTTGCAGTGTCCCAGGATCACATGATCACTATTTGCAACCTTCCCAGGGGGCTTCCAGTAAGCAAAGTCAATAGGAGAAGCCAGTTTCACTTAGTGACTGCAGTGATTCCCTTAATGACTGCAGCAAAAAAGGTGTAAAATTGGGCATTACTCACTTAACAACATCGCTTAGCAATGGAAGTTCTGGTCCCAATTGTGGCCGTAAGTCGAGGACTACCTGTACTTCTGGTCAGATCCCTCACCCAGCATAGTCCTTCTGACTGGTGTGTTTTCTAGGATCTTAGGCAGAGGTCTTTCCCATACTTTGCTTTGTGAATCCTTTTAACTGGAGATTCTGGGAATTGATGCAGAAAATAGATAACTCCTAGGGCTCTTCTCTGTGTTTGATGCCAAGAAGTTCCATAATAGGCTGTGTAATATGTTGTGATGGTCTCTTCCATAAGCTTCCCATATCCTGTATGGCTATGCTGGCTGGGGATGCTATGAATTATGACAACTGAAAAATCACATGTTCCTTACTATTGGTTTAAAAGATTTCTATTGTGTTTTCTAAGGTAGCTTTTAACAACAAAAAGCATCAGTATTCAAGTAGAAACAAAAATGAAGGCAAGGATAGCCCAGAAATGAAAATGAATCCTTTATAAACTTGGGAAAGTCAGCTGATGCTATAAGGGAACAAAGGAGAAAGCAAGAATGACTAGGATACCACTATTGAAAAGTCCTGACCCCAGATTTCACCCAACTTTTTAAAGGTCATTTGAAGAATGGCTTCTGATGGAGATAGTAACCAATGCACAAGTTAATGTGTTGGTAGGTTAGAAACCTGTTGAGAAGTTTCAGATTGTTGAACTACCTCTGCAAGAAAGAAATGCTCCTTGACTCTGCAGCAAATGGAGATAACACAGCCTTCAGTTCTGAAGGGGAGACTTGATCTTAGAAGCTAAAAATGTTTTTGGAAAGAAATTGTTTGGCTATTTAAATAGAATTATGAAAACACCCTCAAATGCACTGAAGACATCTAGAAGGGAAACTGAATTTTGACAAACCACCTTCCAACATTCAGAACTATAAGAATGAGAGGCAAATATTTGTTTAAAAATCCAAGGCAATTTACCATTAAGTGTGTTGAAAAGTAGTAAATAAAAACTAGCTCAGGATAAAGGACATCTTTTTCTCCCCTTATCACCTTCTTAAAACCTTTCTCACTATGTAATAGGACAGCGTTCCCTGATTTAGACACCTATGTGTGTGGACTTTCCCAGAATTTTTAGCAGTGGCCATTGGGTTAGGCAAGAGTGCAATAGCCGAAGTTCTGGATTTAGATTTAAAGTACAATTTTATGTTTTTTCCCTCTTCTGAAATGGCCATACACCTGCAGGCAGTCCTAGCATAAATGTTGCAGCCCCCCAAATGTTGCCTCTTTTGGGGGGCAAGGGCTAAAGAGTGAAATCCAGGCCTTAAGCCTTGTAGAGACTAATCTTTTTTCAGGCTTTTGGGGGGGGGCTTGTAAAAAAAAATATATATATATTTAAAATAATCCCCTGAATATAAGATCTACACATTCAAAAAAAGGAAAAAGAAAACCATTTTTAGAAGCAAAAAAATGAGAAAAAACCTAAGGATCTGTAATAATAAAATTAAAAATGAAATGAAAGTAACACTGTAACATTAAGCTACAAACAGGCATTAGAACCAGGAAGCCAATTATGCAGTCTGAAACTGCAGCGATAGCAGGTAGTTAGAATTTTTGGTGCTTAAATGTTTGTGAACCCCTTTGAATTTTCAATATTTCTGCATAAATATGACCTAAAATGTGATCTGTTCTCCACAAGTCCTTAAAATAGATATAGAGAACCCAGTTAAACAAATGAGTCAAAAACATTATACTTGTTCATTTATTCATTGAGGAAAATGATCCAGAGCTACATATTTGTGTGTGACCAAAGTATGCATACCTCCAGGATTAACAGTTCATTTGAAGGGGAAATCAGGTGTTTCAGTGAATGGGATGATAATCAGATGTGGGTGCGCGGCATCCTGCCTTATTTAAAGAAGAGAAGAAAACTCTGGGTATTCAGTATCAAAGTCTGATCTTCACAACACAGGTATGTGGAAATGTGTCATGGCTCGAACAAAGGAGATTTCTGAGGACCTCCAAAAAACAGTTGTTGATGCTCACCAGGCTGGAAAAGGTTACAAAACTATTTCCAAAATGTTTGGACTCCACCAGTCCACTGTCAGGTAGATTGTCTACAAATGGAGGCAATTCAGCACTACTGTTACCCTCCTTAGGTGTGGTCAACCAACCAAGATCACACCAAGAGCAAGGTGTATAATACTCTGGGAGGTCTCAAAGAACCCCAGGGTAATGTCTAAGGAACTAACGGCCTTTCTTGCATTGCCAAATGCTATTGTTCATGAGACCACTATCAGGAGAACGCTGAACAACAACGCCATGCATGTCAAGGTTGCAAGGAGAAAGCCTCTACTCTCCAAAAAGAGCATTGCTGCCAATCTACAGTTTGCAAAAGACCATGTGGCTAAGCCAGAAGGTTGTTGGAAGAATGTTCTGTGGACAGATGAGACCAAAATAAAACTATATTTGGCAAAAGGCAAACACTGGATTCCAACATAAGAACCTTATCACATATGTGAACGTGGTGGCAGTATCATGTTTTGGGCCTACTTTGCTGCCTCTAGATCAGGACAGCATGCCATCATTGATGATGCTCTCAGTGTACTAACAAATTCTACAGGAAAATGTCCATGACTCTGTCTGCTCAAGAGAAAGTGGGTCATGCGGCAAGACAGTGACCCAAAACACACAACCCATACAGTCAAAGAATGGTTAAAGAGGAAGAAAGTTAATGTGTTGGAATGGCCAAGTCAAAGTCCTGCCTTTATTTATTAAATTTATATGGCCACCCATCTCATATACATGACTTTGGGCGGCTAACAATTAAAACAAATAGAAACAAAGTAAAATATAACCAATGATTAAAAATATAAAAAATGTAATCCTATGGAAATGCTGTGGAAGGACCTGAACTAGGCAGTTCATGCGAGGAAGCCCACCAACATCCCTGAGTTGAAGCTGTTCTGAAAAGAGGGATGGGCTAAAATTCCTCCAAGCTGATGTGCAGGATTGATCAACAGTTATCGGAAACGTTTAGCTGCAGTGAGTGCTGCGCAAGTGGGGCACACCGGTTACTGAAAGCAAAGGTTCACACACTTTTGCCATGCACAAATATGTAGCTTTGGATCATTTTCCTCAATAAATAAATGAACAAGTATAAAGTTTTAGACTCATTTGTTTAATTGGGATTTATCTATCTATTTTTAGGATTTCTGTGGAGAACAGATCACGTTTTAGGTCATATTTATGCAGAAATATTGAAAATTCAAAGGGGTTCACAAACTTTTAAGTACCACTGTGTGTGTGTGCGTGCGCCACTTTCTTCAAAATAGTTCATGCAAAGATTTGGAATAGGCTATTGAAGCAATTTCCAAAGCTGTTCATTTTTTTCAAAAATATGTAAATTCATTCCTTTTTCATCTGAGAAGTTTCAGAAGGCAGAAATGACATTCTGTTTTGCTCACTTAATTTCCAGATGAAAAAGCAGAGAATGGCTGTTCAGTATTTGAGGAGTTACATTACACACAGCTATGTGGAAGAAATAAAAAAGGAGGATAGGGTTACATGCAGAAAGAAGCGTTTTAAATCATTCTGGAAGAGTTATAACTAGGAAACTATTGTTGGATTAATTTATAAGATGAATTCTGGTTAATTTTGATGCTGGTCTGGTGCAACCTTGTCTTTAGGAATGAAGAAGAGTAAATGGTCTTAGGCATCTCAAAATGGCGCCTCCGAGGTTTGGTAATTTGTAGACATATTTGCATTTAATTGAGCACTTAAAAGGCACGTGAATAATCAACTATAAATTTGCAAGTCATTTGTAAACTGCCAGGCATCCCTGCAGATTCGATGGTATACAAATGTAATAAATAAAGAAAAATCAATAGTCATTGGTGAACTCAATTAAGAATAGCTGACACAGCTCGCAAAGCTTAATTCCTCATTTTTCCTGCTGCCTGCATGCAGCAAGAGGGGGAATTAAAAAAAACTGTGTCTTGCCGTCGTCCAACTTCTCTCCTTCTTCCAGCACACCTTTCCAATTCCTGAGATGTCAGTTTTAAAGACTCAAAGCTGAAACTAAAAGGTGGCATGGGGGGCTTGGCATGGTGCCACTGTCTGCAAAGGGGGAATGCGTGACCACCAAATGCTTGCTTTGGCTTGGGTTCAGATCCCAGTATCAGAAATAGTAGCGTTGTAGAAGTCTGCACTGTCTTGTTCCTAATTCCAGTTTTTATTCTGCATTGGGTGTCAGGTTTGAGACCAAAAGACAATGAGAGCCAAAATGTTGAATGTTGTATCTTTTTAGCTATTTATGTTGTTATTTTTATGGGGGAAATTGTTTTACAGGGGGGAATAGAAACATTTTTTTAAATGTAATTTTTTCTACCCTTTTTTTAAAAAAAAATAGTTGAACAATCCTCCAGATCATATTACATGACTCTGTTTTGAGATAAATTCTGTTGTTCCAAGAGCAAAAAAGGAGTAACAAATAGTAAGCCAAGGAAATAAAGACATGAGGTAGAGAAAAAAAAATACAACTAAATCTAGTTCACACCAGGATCTTTCACTGTACATATCCATACCATTTTATCCTTGCAAACCATCCTTGCTCCACCGTATCCATACAGCGCTTCATGTATTGCCTTTTGTGTTTTAAACTTCTCAGCTCTGTCTTTTTAGAGCTCTTACCAACTCCTTCCAACCATGACTTCTTTAGTCTTTCCCTTCCTCTCAACTCAATCAGACCTTCTTCATGTACTTGTTTTATGATTTGATCTTCTTTCATTCCTCCTGTATCACTAAACCCGTTCAATATACTTCATTCTTACTGATCGCTCCCTTTTGTAGTCAGTCCACATTCATTCAACACCCATTCATTCTTGACCCTCATTTTTCCTCGCACCTCCATGCAATAAAAATGGGCAGAAACACTCTCTAAGCCATCATTTTCACTTCTTTCATCAAACCTTCATTCCTGGCAACTGGCCACCTACTATCCATTACTTTACTACCAGCATTCACAAGCTTTAACATTTCTCCAGCCATTTCCTCATCTTCAGTAAACATTCTAGACAAATTCACCTACTTGCTTGGTTTTTTTTTACCATTTAAGAATTCACTCCATTTTTTCTTGTCAGACATAACTGTCTTGATCTTTGATGCATTGATTTTCAGATCATACTCCTTGTGGTGTCATACGGCTTTCTAGCGTTTGCTGCAGATCAATTGTTCTTAGCCAGCCATGTGGCATCGTCTGCATACAAAAGCACACGTACATCCACACCCCCAACCAGTACACCTCTAAATGTCATCATAAGCATTCCATATCTATTTATGTAGAAATACATTGGAAACTTTAACTTCATTAGAGTCCCTATGACTTGTTGAAAGAGAGAAAATGTGGTTTGCACATCTCCTGCCCTGTATAAAGCTACATTGCACTTCCCCAGTATCTGGAGTTTTATGTTCTCCGGTCAGTGACCAAAGCCTGTGTCTCTTCCATTCCTTCAGGAGTCTGAAGATAACCTCTTTGTTGGGGAGACAGAAGGAAACAAACTCATCAAGGGTGGAAGAGGGAATGGGGAGACCTGCCAGTGTCTTTCTTCCACTGGCCCTGTATGTCTGGGGTCTTGTCTGATGTTTCCTCCCTCTTCTAACTCTGCCTTCCTTACCTTGCTCCTGCTCCAGACCATCAAGTGTTTGCTGATCCACCCCAATCCGGAGTCTGCCCTGAATGAGGAGGCAGGGCGCCTCCTGCTGGAGAACTATGAGGAGTATGCTTCCCGAGCTCGGCTCCTGACCGAGATCCACGCCCAGCCCTCCTCTGGCTTGCATACCAAGAACCCTGCTGAGCCTTGCTCCTCTTCGGCAGGTGCCTCCGGGGAGGGTCCCATGGCCAAGAAACACGCAGGTGACAGAGACAAGAAACTGGCTTCCAAGAAGAAGACTGACAAGAAGCGAGCTCTCCGGCGGCTTTAGGGGGTGGGGGGTGAGGGTCCGAAACACAGGTGGGTTGTGGGCATTGGGGGTTCCATAGTACATTCTCAGTTTCTCCTCTCTTCCTCTGCCACCTTCACTATGAGACTGCAGTCCAACTTTGTCTTGCCCTTGTCGGATTTTTCTTCTTTTCAGTCTTTAAGTTATTTAAATTATAAAAGCAGAAAAATCTATTAAATGCCTTTGTTTTCTAAGGAAGGCTCTTAATGTATGGTTGTGCCATCATATAAAGCGGGGGTGAGGACCAATTGAAAATACCTGGCCCCTCTCCTTAAAATGAGGATCTTCTAGGAGCCCAAACTTACAGAATTCAGATGATTTGGGAAGAGGTACCTCTACTTTTTTGAAGAAGATTGAAAAAGCTGCTGTTTTCAGTTTAAGGGAGAAAACATTGAGGAGGGGATTAGGTATGGGTTTATGAAACTATAAACTGGAGCAAGGTATGATGATTTCTTAGATTTCAGGGTCAGTTTGTGAAATTGCTTCATATAGCATAAAGAAAATGTTTCTTCAGCTAATACCTGATTCAGGAGTTCATTGTCATGAGATGCAGAAATGGATGTGAGGGCAGGTATCTTTATAGAAGGGAGAATCTGTGTATCTTAGCAACACAGGTCAAAATGAGACTATGTTTAGGGGTTATATAGATCTACCAGATGTTCAGGTGGGGGGAGGCTGGAGTGGCTGTTCTGGGAACATCTGCTTGGCTATGCGGCAGCTTGATAGAACTGAGTGATCTCACTTTGTTCCGGGGAAGTTCACACAGTTAAAACATGGGTGTCATAAGCAAAAAAGATGGTTTAGTGCAGGTGATTTTATGATAGCCCTCGGATGGGCTTTTTGAGAAATGGCTGGCCAGAATTTCATACTTAAACATTAACTTGCAGTGATAGGAGAATGTGAGAACTTGCTGGCCACATAGATGCATTTCTGTACCAGAAGTTCAGGGCAAAATCAGCAAATAGGCCTTCTGTCCCACAATCAGCATTCCTGTCTTCCCTGTGTTCAGCTCTGAAATCTACTATTTATTACACTTAGTTTATTTGTACAGTATTTCTATGTTCCTTTAGTACTGAACAATCTGGACCCTTAATCATCACCTGCAACTGCCACCACAGAGCGACTCAAAATCTGCTTGCCCTTGTCTTTATCATTTTATTATCTAATTTTTATGGATGCTTAAAAACTTTTATATAACTATTTTGTGGGGTTTTCCCAAAGTGGCAAGTCCATCAAAGATTTTTTTTAACCTCCTACTTTCTGAAATAAATAACACGTATAAACGTAAACAAATCAATAAAATTAGAATTTTATGGATGCTTAAAAACTTTTATATAACTATTTTGTGGGGTTTTCCCAAAGTGGCAAGTCCATCAAAGATTTTTTTGAACCTCCTACTTTTCTGAAATAAATAACACGTATAAACGTAAACAAATCAATAAAATTAGAATTTCAGTACCATTTATTCAAAAATAAAACAGTGTGCAGGTTTAGGATGCTGATTCTTTTGAAATGGAACGGTCTTTGAAAGAAGGAAGACCACAGGCTGATGATGGTAGTGGAGCTCAGCAGATCTGAGGGAAGGCTTACTAGACTCCTGGTGCCATTCCTGGAAATACTTCTCTTCATTTCCACTTCCATCTTCATGCATCAACAGTAGAAGGAGGAGGACTCTTGAGTCTGATCATCAGTATCAGATGGGAAGTTGGTGTTTCTCAGTGAGAATTGATATAGTCCTTGTAGGGATTTGGCTTCAGATCCAATTTTGTATGGAAAGTTGAGCTGATTCCTAATTTGCCCACTGGGACCTCTTCAAGTGAGCCACTGTCCTGCAGCCCAGGCTACAGAGAAATTTGCGCAGCACACTGTAAGTGCTGTGAGGTATCAAGAAATGCGTGCCTTGCCAAATCAAGCTGGGTTCTTTTCCAACTTGAGGAACACACGTTCCCTTGGACAGGCTCGTCTGCATGGAAACTATTGAAGCATATCAAGTAATCAAAATAGAGAAAAGATTTCTCACCACAGTTTACGGTGATACATAACAGCGAAAGTTACTTTTGCCATCCAGTTTGCACTGCTTCTCCATAGGGACATTGCAGCTCAGGGCCAGGGGCAGAAATGGGGAAGCTAAAGTGATCCAGAAGCAGGAGCCACTGATCAATAGTGTTGGGTTTTGAAAAAAAACGAGCTTTTTCTCAAGCAGTCAAACGCAGGTCATCCAATGAAGACGGAGAGCAGACAACTTAAGATACTTGCAGTAGTAAATGCTTCCATGCAAAGTGTAATGATGGATGCTGGGTTAAATTTTAAATTGAGCATGTGAGATTTGGCCCCAAGCATTTTGGGGGTGGAAACCAGGGGTGAGTGTGGGAAGGGTGATGATGCAAAGTGAGGGGAGCCATATCATGGTGAGACTTGGCTTTTCCTCCCCGCCCCATAAAAGTTTTTTGGTAGTGGGCGGGGAATCATTTATGACTGTCTTTTTTAGGGCTTGTGTTCTGTGGGGTTCCTGTTTCAAAACGGCACTGGTTCAGCAACCACAGAGGGCTCTGGAGTTCCCAAAAGCTTGAGCTGCATGTTGTGTTCTCCAACTTGGAGGAGAGGCCTAAAAGGGAAAAGTAGCAGTGGCTCTGGGCAATTGCCAGATCCAAAAATTTGGACATCTCTACCTGTTGCTGGAGAAACACCTGCAAGAGAGACTGATTGTGGGGCTTCCCAGAGGCCAGCAGAGGGCACTGCTGCATTTTGTGTGTTTGTGTGTGGTGGTCAGTCCAATATTACACATTTTGAGGCAACTAGAGATGTAGGCCTTCCCTGCTGCAGCAAAGCAGTGGGAACTATGGCATTCCTTGAGCACCTCCTGTTTTGGCTCTGTTTTGGAATATTCAGTATTTGTCCCACAAACCTTGCTGGGTAGGACAGAAAAGGGGTTGGAAACACCAAGAGACTCTTAGCCAAATGAGTACATTGCTGTTTCATAGACTGGGGGCTGAGTTTTAAAGACAGCCCAGTTTCCCTTGTGCAAGGGGGGCACAGATGGGGTTTAGGCCTGGGTCAGAATCCAGTATCAGCAGGCCTGCATCTGGCTCCTACTACTGTAGATGGAAAATATTAGACGGTAACCGGTCCGAGACCCCTCTCACCCTTCTCTCCATGGGCCTCTCACCCACACACGGACATGCATGCACACACATAGCCTGTCCTACTGCGTGTGTTCAGAGCAGCAGTTCTACTTGAGTGAATCAATAGGGGAGGGGGGGAGGGAGGGAGGAGATGTTGAGAGACCATAAAAATATTATGAACGTACATTAGGAATTGGAATTCTTTACCTTGGAGGCTCACATTCCTGTTAGCCCCACTAGATGGACCAGACCAGGAAACCAACTCCACAAGGCTAAAACTGCTTTTATTGGCTATAATAATAAAGTCTTCCAAGTCTGATGGTGCTAGACCTCCTCCTCCTCCTCCTCCTCCTCCTCCTCATAGTTCAGTCAATTAGGGAGGCATCTCCCTGATTCACTTCTGAACGTTACTGCAATTCTGAGCTTAAAAAACATTTCAGCCCCTTTTGCCAGCTAACGTTTCTTGCATATTTCCAATAAGGTCATCTTCCTTTCTGCAATTCCCTAGGAGGTCATCTTTTGGAGGCCAGAGCCAGTCAAGGCTGCACTAGCAGCAGAAGCACATGGCAAGAAACCCTTGTTTCTTTCTCCAGCATCTGCCAAACACTCCACTCCTTTGCTGAGCTTCCCAGGAAGGTGCTAGGTCTGAAACTGCTTGCAGACGGCTTGTCAGTGCAGGGTGACCTTTAGGCCAAGGACCGCAATTTGCTTGCTCTGGTTCAAATGTTCTTCCCTTCAATCTTAGCTCCTTGCTATTATGCCCTTTGTCTTGACTACCAAAACCAAGCCCCTAAATCTTGAGTTCTGAATCTGAATATTTCTTTTTGCACCTCTCCCACTTTAACAGAATATCTCTTCTTTTTTCCCTCCTTAGGGAACTTGGAACTTGAGGCTTGCTAAAATTGTTAGTGCTTCTCTCCCCATTCCTTTTTTTTTATTAAAAGCAACTTTTTAAAATTTTTGTCCTGCCTTCCGAGGCACTCAAGGCCTGTACTAGTGATGTGCAAACCCAAACCTTTTGCATGGCCCTACAATGTTCATACTACTATCTACTAACTCTGCAAAGAAGGTTAAGCTTACCCAAGATCACCTAGTGAGTTTCATGACTTGAGTGGTAGTTGAACACATTTCTCTCCAGTCCTCATTCTAGATTTTTAATTGCTGAACTCCACAGATTTAACTCAATTTCAGTGGAAGGTGTTTTGGTCCTGGAACATCCCCTTAGATATTCATTCATGCATCTCTGAGGCCAGAAGAAAGGAAATTTAGGGTAAATTGGAATGAGTTCTGGGTAGATTTGAATCTCGTTTGCTGTGTTTTGGAAACGAAGCAGCCCTTGTCTGAGCTCTCTTCTAGGGTAAGTGGTTGCGTTCCATTTTTACTCTCTCCACCAGGTGGCGCTGATGGTCAAAGTAAGGAATGAAGAGGGAGTCTGGTTTTTTGTATTAATTCTTTGTCCTCTTTAAGAAATGTCTTTGCTGTCCTTTGGTTGGGCATATGCAAGATGGAGGAAGAGGCTGGGAGGAGTGGTGATCAAGTAGAATTTCAGAGTGGAAAGGGACGGCTGTGCCTTTCCTCTCCACCTTGTTGTAGTGTCCCACCTGATCACAACAAGCTCCTTACAGCCATACTTACTATGCACAAGGGGATTAGCACGGATCAGCTAACTCGCTTGTGGTTAAAACTCAGTGGAGGAGGATGGGACCAGCCTGGTTATATAATCACTGCCTTCTCTATGATATCTTCCTTGTTGGATGTCAACATAAAGCTTTGAAAGGAGCCAAATTAGGTTAGCAAACAGCATAAGCTTGGTGCCTTTAATCGCTTGAAGGTCAAAGGGAGAAAAAAATAAATAAATAAAAGAGGCCGTTCCCCAGCTTGCTGAAAGTTTTATTTAATTCTTTATGTGTGGCTGGAAGAAACTTTAAAAAAAATTAACTGCCCTGCTCTGGAATTGGTAACTGCAGGGAGACACCCGTGAGTTAAGCTGGTGAACATATGGCGAAACTCTCCTTAACTTCTTTCTGTCTGAAAAGCTTTGCCTGCTTAAATGTTGGTCAGTTCTCATGCTCCTAAAGCAGAACGAAGGCAGCTCAAACTCAGATTGCGTGCATGGGTGATCCAGCAGGATTCGGGGAAAGTAATATTCTTGAGGGATCACGGATGTTTGAGTGTGAGCGAAAGGAATTTAAAGCCAGGAGATGCAGAAGATCGAGGCTCTTGGGCTCCTTGCAGATGAAGAATGGAAGCTGCAGGCCATTTGTAGTGATTTGGGATGATCGGACAGCCGGTTTTAAAGCAGAGAAGCTCCTGAGCTGGGTGAGGGACACCCGTAATCAAAATGGATGTTTATGTTCTGAGGGAATGATTTCAACCAGATGTCTGCAGTCGCAGCTGAAAAATGTTGCATTAGGCCAGTGTTACTCAACCTTGGCAACTTTAAGACGTGTGGACTTCAACTCCCAGAATTCTCCAGCCAGCTTGTGGCTGGGGGAATCTTGGGGGTGTAGGTTAAAACTCTTTAA